TCCTTAAACAATGCCCTGACCAATGCCTCTCAGCATGTTCCGTAGACATTAAGGACTTATACTACTCGATTCCACACACGGAGCTTTTAATGTGCGTCGAAGAGTGTGTTGACAACCACGGGTGTGTAGCGTTTCAAAATGAATGTGGTCTGGGGGTAAGAGACTTCTTGGAGCTTTTAACCTTTTATCTAAAGTCGACGTTTACAACTTGGAATGGAGAAACTTTCATTCAGAAAAACGGCATATGCATCGGTTCCTGTTTAGCTCCCGTGTTGAGCAACATTTGTCTTGCATTTTATGACAGAATGTTATCTAATAGACTTGAAGGCTCTAGGGTAAAAAAGGTTTTTAGGTTTGTAGATGACTACTTAGTGCTTGTTGACTGTGACTCAGACCAATTTGCTGGCGAAATTTCTGAGGTTTTGTCCACTTTTAGTAAATGCTTGGAACCACTGGTTATCACGCACGAATTACCAGTAAACGGTTCCATAAGATTTTTAGACCTTAGGCTGCAGTGTCTCCCCACACACACCTGCTGGCTTTATGAACCAAGGAGTAATAAACCCCTCCTGTCGTTTTCGTCTGCCCACTCTAAACTGGTAAAAAGGGGAATCATCAACATTTGCTTTAAGAACGCCCTTAATAAATCCTGCTTTCACTTAGTCAAGGATAGCTTTAAGAATCAAGTAGCGAGGCTCACGGCCGCGGGCTACCCGTTGCGCCTCTTAATGGCAGTCGCGGAAACTCTACTAAAGAGAAGACGGATTGAGAATGCTGAACAAGTTAACAGGAAAAACAGAAACATCACAGTACTACCGTACCTACACAAAATATCCCATAATCTGAAAAAAGTGGGACGCCGAGCTGGTGTTCACGTGGTCTTTTCGGCTCCAGACAAGCTATCTATGATGTGCAAAAGAGTGAACTCTCATGTAGTAGAGAGACAGGTGTGCGCCAAGAAACACCAAAGCCAGTTTGTTACATGCGTTGCGGGTGTTGTCTACTCTATTCCCCTGTCCTGTGGCCGGAGATACATAGGGCAGACAGGACGTTGTCTTAATCAGCGTTTAAGAGAGCATCGTTATAATGTGTCTCAGGTTGTGTCAGGGCACCTTGGGTGCATTGCCGCGATTGCGGATGTACTCCGTTTTTTGAACGATGCACGGTCATCAGAAAACAAAAAGATAAACTGACACGTGAGATTATAGAAGCCCGCGCCATTGGACAATCGGGCTCTGAGTGTGTTAGTGCCCCGTCACTTGGCTTGACGGAAAAGGAGTGTATTATTCTACTCAGATCGGAGAGCAACGGCGCCTGCAGATGACTCTAGGAACACGTGTAGTCCTCCTCTTGTGTTTCTTTTCTTGGCTTTTGGGCCGGGCAAATTGTGTATTTATACAGGTTGTCAGTGCCAATAAAGCTCAGTTGTAAGTCAGCGCTGTGTGTGTCTACCGCCTTCTACTCTGCCCTTGTCCTTGCGCTGTTTGTTTTCCGCTAATACGAAAGCGTTTCGTCATTGTGGTCTTACGAGAGACCGCCTAATCCCGTGCTGAAAATGCACTTACCTTTTTCCAAGCTTTGAGTGGTTTATGAAATCTTTGGGCGAAAATCAGCCACCACGCTGCGGTTTAGTGGCGCTGTTGCGCTAAAATTTCGGTTTCGTTATAAAATAAAGACGAAACACATTGTTAATTATCTTTTATAATTGAGTTTGTTTATGTTTCCGTTAAAATGGAGACTAAGGTTCGAGTATATTTTTTCAAAAATAATTTCGGCGTAATTTTGCACCTTAAGGATATGGGGAGAATACAGGATTTTACGGTTTGTTTTTGAACGTCTAGTAGGGTACCTATTTATAGTTTTTATTGTTGTTTTCGAAGCTCGATAAACCGGATATTTTTGTACACCTGTATTTGTCTTTATACGGTTTGTTCTGACGTTTTGTAGTATCATAGGCACACTGAGGAAGGACTCTGTTACTTTTTTAAGTAATTCTCTACATTCGACGTTACTCTTTAGAGTCAGTAATTTGTAATGTAATTTTATTACAAAATATTAGTAACGAATAAAATATTTCTAGTTACTTCCTAAAAATATCAATATAATACAAAATCTGGAGCATCGTGAGCGAATTCAGCAGAGTAATAATAGCAAAATCAACACTATATAAAACAATGCCAAGAGGAGAATAACTGCAAAGAAAACATGGTTATATTTGTATGACCGGTCACTAGAACCACTCGACAGACGTGCAAGGCGTACACAAATATTCGAAAACCAAATACCAAAAAGACAACGCCGAATTGGCAGTGCCTTCTTGATCTCCTAGCTGAGGCAGACGCTGCTACTGGGCATGCGCACCAATGGCTTTGTCTGCAAAATTTCAGGGATCATTTCGGCCGCCGTAAACTTGAGGAATGGTCGGTGTGGTGGCAGCTTTCGCTGCTTTGTCAGCTTACAAATAAAACGAGTGAACCTACATTATTTCTCCTCAATGCAATATTCCATTTTTACAAGGACTGCCATAATGCGGAGTATGAGGAATGGAACGGTAGTATTGCAGAACATTTTTGAAAACATAAAAAATTGTTTATATGGTTGTCTTGATAAGTGTGCTGGAAAAGTAACGTTAAAGTAATTTCTAACCGAACGAGTAAAGTAATGCGTCAGTTTTCATCAAACTTAATTCGTAACGGTAATTAATTCCATTTGAGGCTTGGTAATTCGTAATTGTAGTTCATAACATTTTTTAAGTAACAGGCACACGTCTCCATATGTAGGGACTTCTCTTCCTTTATTCAAGGCTTGGGACATTCATATAACGCATGACTCTATAAACATGTTGGACAGATAAAGTGTACTCGCCTTAGACACGCATGTACACTACATGCTACACCCAGGTGGATTACAGACAGAGGTGCATTACAAATATTTGTACACCATACACGTGCACTGCACAACTCCGCGGAAACCCGACATCGACATAATTCCTTGAAGTAAATGTAAGGGCGCACACGATCTGCTTTAGATTGAAAGTGACATAAACCGCGAGTCTGCGCCCGAGCAGGGTATGAGAAGCGTCAACATTTACGGCTGATGTTGGTGTCACGTACAAACAAAGTCCGCCACCAAAGTGGGTTTTTTACTAGACCTTCAATCTTAAAAAAAAAAAAAAAAAAACGACTCGAGGCAGGTGTTTTGTGCTTACTGTGTGGCTCTGCATAAAGCTGACATAGAAGTGCACCGCAGAAAGCAAATGCCTTTCATTCAGACGTGAGCAAAACACACTGGCAAAAAAATGTGAAAAAAAATTCAAACAACCCGTGAACGCTGATACAAATCAAACCACCAAGGCAAATCAGCTCACACATTTTTCACCATAGCAATCCCGGATCCTCAAACAAATACCGGCCGGAGACATTACTGGAAAACGAAAGGTAGAAACATGACGAACATTCAGTCAAAATAGAAGTGCGAGCTTCTCCAATACACCAAACACACGCTCGCACACACACACACGCACACACAAGCTACATCGAACAAACGTAAACACATGCCAAGATGCTTCTTATCGTGTTTCGCGTTGCAATAAGCGTGAGTCCCGTTAAAGGCCACTCACGAAACGTATCAAGCTAAGGTTCAAAGACATTTCCTTCTACTTCCGAAGACTTTTTTTAAGGCTGCACGTATTCATGTCGTATTTTGATATGCCTTCGGTGATCCCCATTTCCTCTGCCCCTTAATTCTTATTTCATTTATGTAGCACAGGGACACAGAAAGTGAAGAGTGTACATAGATGAGCGGCTTCAAGGAGATCAGAATCATTCAAACACCTACTGCTAGCAATGCAATAACACTGGATATTCATCGTCATTGATAGGAGCCCAGCGGAGGTCACAAGCATTACTGCGCTTCTGCGTGTTGCGCGTCTATATATTTTTTTTTTCTGCTATCTGTAGTTTTTAAAACGTTCGACAACATTCGGGGACAATTTGGACAACATGATCAGATGCGAGTGTACAGCTTCAATTGGAGAGCTCAAAGTGCGCGTGCACACGTGCACAAACAGCTTTGACCGCGTAGCCGCAAAACGTCCTCCCGAGTTGGCTCGAAAGGCAAAAGCGCAGAAATGAATGCGCCCTGAGGCGATTTTATAGAAAGGTGCAAGGTCCCTGACAAAATAAGAAGGCAGGGCGATTGTTTCAATGTCTCGCTCCCAGCGCGTGCTCCCAGCTTTAAATCAGGGAAAATACAGGTTAGAACCGAGTGCTGAAGTATCAATCGAGTCCAATATCACATAAGAACTGTGATAGTTGCAAAGAGCGGAATTAGCTATTGACTTTCAGTCGGCCTACCTCCCCTGCCGACTTGCTGTATGCAACTTCATACATCGAAATATTTTTATGCTCTAACGCCACCGACCAGCAGACAAAACCGGTGCCATAATAAGATTTTTTGGCCACTCATAAATTCGCTTGCATTGTATCAGCTGTCAATTAAGGCTGGTCTGTCACTCGCTTAGCGAATCTTAGTTTTGACCACTTATAGAGGACTTCTACGTTCTCTTTTGAACTAATCACCATAATGCAGCTCTTTAGTAAAACCGTGAAGTATAATCCCCAACAACAAGCGAACAATAGCCTTTGAGGGTGACACTTTTACTAGTAAAAGAAGCGTAAGAAAATTACAATATTAAATTTTTCGCTTATAAGGAAAAAGAACTGAATTACAAAGTGCCACGAACAAATAAATCATTTCCGGTCATTTAACAAAACGTAACGCGCCTCGGGGAACTCTTGCGTGAGATAACGAATCCATGATATATTTTCGAGCTTATCACGCTTGTTTTTTTGATGCAAGTTTCTGCGAGTCGCCCAAGCAATCGGATAAACCAGAGTGAATTTTCAAGGTTCTATAAATTTGCAGACTAATTTTTAAGAAAGTCTTCTCTACATAAGACTCAATGAGGTGTTTAAAGATGATCGGTGGTTTTCGCTCACCATTCGGTCTGCAACAGAGTCCATGACGCAATGCAGGTACACCGTCTGTCCCAGTTGAGTGGTGACATTGCGGACGTCAGGACTTGTGAGGAGGTGTTCGTACTCGCCGGGGCTCAGACCCCGGGCCAGACTGCCGCTCGGTAGAAGCAGAGTTTGACTAGGGGCGCGACTTGAACTTTTGGCCGGCACCGGTACTTTTCGGACCACATCACCTGCTGGTAGCAAGACAGAAACAAAGAGAAGGAAAGAAAGGAGGAAGACATGAGTGCCTATCGGGTGTAAGAACAGAGAGAACTCAAGAAAGCTCTGCTGTGTAGACGCTTTCAGAGTTAGCAGGAGAGATAAAAAAAAAAATCATAACCCTCACAAGCAAAACAAAATAGCAAAGTGACCGTTTCGTGTTCACCATCTCTGTAATAAACAAAGTGCAAGTGCTATCAAAGAATATCACCTGGAATACAAGAAGAGCCCCTTCCCCGAAAAGGTAGTTACTATCTGATCTACTCAATTCTACGAGCGCGTCTTGTAACGTCTTATAACGAACGGAACCTTTGCTCCCAGTGACGTAACAAAAGAGGCGTTTGTTGAGCTTCAACATGTTTTCCACTTGGGGCAAGCATGTTGAATCCCGAGCCGATTTTCAAAGGGTTCGGACCTCTGAACAGTGGCGGAACAACCTGTACCGCCGGAAACTCAAGTCTAGTGTTGCATAACATGGTGGCGAATTTGCATTAGTAACATTCATATTCACAACTTTCAGCGATGGTGGTACGGGTGTTAGAAACGCGTTCCCTATCCGCTGGATGATTGGCCTCCAGATGAAGGTGCTTGCTTACAACTTCCTGACGTGGATGTCTGAGGCAATGCTTTTATATCGCACGAATTTTACAAGATTACACTTCCATAAGCGTCTCATACCCAACCCCGTACTGCTCTTCTACGACACTCATTCGGGTGACTGCCATTTCTGCAGAAATTTGTGTGCACCCCATACACCATGATAGTTGCGAACTGCTTCTACTTTGGCTGTGTCCATTTTATCCCCTAGTGTGCAGGGGTTTCGCACCCTTTAAAATAAAACACACTTTCGAAAGGGCTCTATATGTGCCTTACGCTTGCCTCTGATGGGCAACGTAAAAGTATAAAATACCCCGGTAGTATTGCCTAGTCCAGGTGTGTGCGACACGCGAAAATAGTGGAAAAGCCAAGTCCAGATTTGTTTATCACAGGTTCAACCCAAAGCGGCGCCATGGTCCCTTACCCACATTCACCAAACGCTCACTATGACGTTTTAAGAAGGGTCGAGCGCGATTTCATCGAGAATAACTTTTTATTGGCAGGTAGTCAATTTTAATAGTGCTGATTTGGAACGAGCGTCGAATGCTTGTTTCTACCGCGCAATCTTCATGCGCAGTAGACCCTTTTTAGAAGTTCATCAGGTACGATTGTCGGGGCAGAAATCTCTAGATGGCGCGTAATTAGGAAAATGGTCTATCGTACTCGTTGTTTGCAAACGGTGACAAGTAAACTCGTCGTTTGCAACTGATGATGAGAATGAAGGATCACAAAGACTGAGAAAAATAGTGGCCGTAAAGTAAAGGGCAAAGGGCAAGCTGTATGGCGACATACCATTTCCCTCGACGTTACGTCGAGGGCAATGGTACGTCACCATACAGCTTGCCGTGAGGTTATGGGTCGTAACATGATGGGTCACCTGACATCAACATACAACTTGCCGTGACGTCATGGGTCGTAGCATGATGGGCCATGCGTCATTCTAGTACCACCCCTCATTTATCATCTTATGACAAGAATACAGGATGACCAGCACCGCGGAAAATCTTTTCTGCGACATCATGCATCACGCAACGTTGAGGATCACTTAGCGTCACTAACTGGTCGCGACGTCATAGGCCGTAACATGATACATCACATGGTTTACACTAACTCGTAGCTAGCAACTTATGACAAGTAGCCAATATCATAACCGCCAATAAAAACCTGCCTGTGAAGTCAAGGGTCACGTGACGTCATGGGTCACGTGACGTCAGGGGCCACGCGACGTCCGGGGTCACGTGTCATCAACATCCAAATACCGCGACGTCCGTGTTTTTTGCGGTGTTTAGTCCTCTAGGTCAGAATGAAACAACCAGTCCAATCCTAAATTTTAATGCATATCTACGAGCCTTCGTTTTAAAATTTATATTGCCAGCTGAACATGAAGGAAGAACACATAGATAAATAGAAAAAATGCAACCACTCCGCTGGTACAGGCAACTTGAAAGAACAAAATTGGCAGCAACCTTTACCTTTAAAGGCTTACAATGCATGAAATGCATGACAGGGAATTGGGGAGAGAATTGGTGCGTCCCGTGAGGTATATTTCCCCAATACATTTAGCGGAGAAACTGAATAGTTGCATAGGCCACGTGATGTCGATTTTCCCCGTTAAATTCAGCGGAGAAATTGGATTGGTGTCTAGGTCACGCTACGTAAAGTGTCCCGCTAAATTAACCGGGTCACTTAATTTCTGTATAAGTCACGTGACGTCGGTTTCCCGCTAAGTTTAACGGGGAAAATGAATTGATGTTTTGACCAAAAACGTAAATTTTCCCGTTGAATTCAGGGGGAAAACTAAGTTGACGTATTGTTCACGTGCCGTCGACTTCCCCGAGGTGTATACGTCAGGTGATGTCTGGTAACGTCACGTGAGGCCAGTTTCCCGCCACATTTAGCGGGAAACCTGATTTGGTTTATAGGCTGTGACGTTACTTTTTTTTGCGAAAGTTAGCGTGAAAACTGAATTGGTCTGTATATCCGGCGACTTCATGTCATGGGACATCAATTTTTCCACTAAATTAAGCTGAAAAAATAAATTCGTGTATAGGTCTCGTGATATCAATTTCACTGCTAAATTTAGAGGAAACGGACACACAAAATTTTGGGATTCCAAGTAAAGTTAAAAAGCCATTAATGTTTTAAAATTTGTGACGGCTCTAATCTGAGCAAGTTGCTTCACTGCTTGCTTATTGTGCCAGGTGAAAATTACGAAAGTACACATAAAGACAAAGAAAGTTTTCCTTTCTCTATGAGTTCTTCCGGCATGTTCAGCTAGCACCATAAACAAGTAACGAACCATTTTCCTCAGCTTAAATCCGTCACATATCCACGAACACTGAAGCTTGCACGGGCCAAAAGCACGGTGTTCAAATGGTCTTATTAACTATACCGACACTGAGCAGCAGGTTTTCTTGCGATGCAATCTAGAAGTAACAAAAATGTGCGCCGGAGAAAGAACAGGTACCAATGAAAATTAGGAGTGATTGTTCCTAAAACGGGCCCGCTTTGTCATTAAAGTTTTCAAAGAAGCATTTGCCCGCTGTAAATATAACTTCTGAAATCAGTGTAAAGGACACAAAGAATAAAATCGCCACGTCTAGAGATTCCTTCAAATACGATGAAGGCGCGATACCACTAATACGCAGTTCCTACGCCACTGCGCTACCCGCGTTCCTATGACGCAAAGGGGGAAAAGAGGAAAGTGTTAGCGCAACGGCCACTGCACCCCCCCCCCCCCCCCTTTCAATCCCACACTCCTCTCGGCGGAACACGATTGGTCGCATGCGCTATGGCTTCAAATTAACACTTGCGCTCCGTTGCTGGCATTCACACCGATGGTCCGGATACGGTGCGACCAACAACAACAGGAGCGAGGGAGCTTAGTGTGGGGTTCTCATGGAAAGTTCTTACTTCAATAGCCATTACAAAAACGAATATAGCCATGACGCCTTAAAACGCGGTCTCTCGCCCTTACTTGTACGATACTGTACAATTTTATTACGAGTAATAAAATTACTCGTTACGAGTGCCGTACACGTTTGGGTTTATCGAAATCGGTAAATGAAGAAGATTTGTAGTTCATGAATCGGGTGATTTTAATCTAATATTGGACACCACTGAATACCAATTTCTAAACCAACTTCTTAATCTACGGATGTTGGTAAATTAATAACATAAGTAGTTTATAATTCGGTGATTCTAACCCGAAAATGGACAGCACAGGGGACACAATTTTAAGGCGACTGGAAAATCTATCGTTTGGGTAGTAATAGGAAAAGTTACGGTAATTTTTTCAAGTAGCGGCCAATTACTTATCTTTCTATGTAATGAAGTCTAACTGGATACATATTTTGCGAAACGCAATTAAAATTGTAATTGATTATTTTTTTCGAGTAACGCGTACAAGCTAGACTCTTCTCGCCTCGTTTAGAAGAAACGGCAAACACAGCGACCCTCTTCGGGCCTCGTCGACGCAAAATATCGCAGTCCACAAAATCTACCCACACTCAATGAGGAACGGAAGCCAGCCATGCCTCCCCTCCAATCCAGAGTTGGAAAGCGGTAACGTCCTCCAAACACCGTCAATCACGGAACGCCATTTGACCTGCCAGCCGCCCCTCCTCTGATCCCGGGTGGCGAGAACACTCCAGCGTCATTAGCCCACAGCATTCCGAGCTGCGGTCGTGCCGGGGACACCTATTAGCACGTCCGTGACGACGGTAGCCACAAACGACGCACTATCTCCAGCACGATCCACCAATCGATGACCGCTAACGCTTACTGATCTCTACTGTAGTAGGCTGGATCGCGAGTCAGCAGCCCGTCGGTGGCACCGCCGGCGGTCATTGCTTGAAACCGTGTGTGTTACACGGAAGCCTACGGGAGAAACACACAAAAGTAGGAATATTGGAACTTCTGCGCGGAGCTCAAAAGCGAGTATTTTATGATTTGCTGCGATTATTATATCGGGTGTTTGGTGAGCGAATCAGTATTTGTCGAGCGTTCGAACGCCCATTAGAAATCTAACATGCCGGAGCACCGACGGCTAAGCTGGCAAGCTTGCTCTCGTCGTGGAGTGAGCAAAGAAACTTGTCGTCCTTAAGGCCGTCCTCGGGGAAGCCCAGAAGCTGATGAAAGCCGAAAAAGTTCCATGTTGACGGCGACTTTCTGGGAGTGAGCGAATACCGCGTAGCAAAACCTTCAATCTTGTCGTCTGCTAAACCCAACTCATCGAAACCCCCACCGACTCCGAGGTAACTCTAGGTAACTTTTGTCTCATTGAGCTGCACTACATTTTTCGCCCGGTGGAGTCTTTCTCGACCATCAAATATTTATTTATAAGAACCGTGAGGGTTGTCAGTTTTAATATTTG